AAAAATGCATATTCACTGGATTTTTATTTCTCAGCGAAAATTAATTCAAAGCGAAAATAAAGTATTCTACAGTATTGTGATATCTCACTCACCATGAGATCTCGGTAGTCTGTTGTTGGAGCAATAGTGTTCAAGTTATAAGGAATGTATTATAATTTCAATAAGTACATACAAGTCAAGGAAAACTAAGGCTCCTTAGCTCTTGAAAATTAAGAATACTTGAGGCGATGAAAATATAAAAAGCTAGTACTATAACAGTAATTTGTATGTTATGATATTGCTTCCTCTATCTAGGCTAATGGTTTCTTTGGCGCTAAAGGTGTTGCTGGTAGTTTACCTGCTGCATATACACATATATCCAAACACTTCTACTCAAGGGTATGTCGTAGTAATCAAGAAAATAGAATTAAAATTTTTGAATATTTCAGAAATTGTTGGACATTTCACGGCAAAGGTAAGAAATAGTATTGGAATAAAGCACTGTATTGACTTTAAATAAATTTGTTAATGCATTAATTATATATATACAGTTCAATATAAAAAAATTTAAACCAAAAATGGCCGCCAGTTGCCCATCTTTACTCTACTGCGCCTGCTCAGTGCTTGGCAAGTGTCACACAATTTTATTTACCCTTGTAGACCACTGAGGACTGCAATTTTATAAGAGTGCAGAAGTGGACACATGTAAATATTCATATTCTCCCAGAGTTGGAAAGTGTGCGCCCTTCACAGAGTTGAACCACATGGAACACGAGACTCCTACACTGGTCTAGTGGTTCTGTTGGTTGGTGAACGTGTCTAAAGATGGATAGTCACTACGGGCGGAGAAAAATTGCCCCTCAGTTTCCATTAAATACTTCTGAGCATTGGTTATGGTGTTTAATTTGTTATTCAGGTGATCCATTAAGTGAAATGACTTTGACGTATTTCACCAGTTCATTTGACGATGATCCTTCGTACCCCACCCAAGGAGAACATGATCATTATGTTGAACAGTGGACCTATGTTTTGTTGTGTAAGTGGACAGGTCATGGGGTCTGCCATCTCCCTCCTAACCCAAATAAACAGTTCATGGTGTCCAATACTTGTTATTTCTACTTTCACAGGTCTCTGGTACAACTTAAGAAATGAATCACTGCCATCACTCACTTTATTGGGATCTCCTAACTTTGGTAAGTAAAATGTATTTTAGCTAGCATGTTCTTTTAGCTAATTTAGCTAATTCAAAGTTGTAGTTTATTTTAAATAAAGTATATTATACAGTGAGAATGTTGGCACTTTAGCTAAATTCGCTGGCATGTAGCTATTTCAACTTGTTCACAGTATATGTTGAAGTTACAATATTGATCCACAGATAACAGCAATTAAGGAGATCATTGAAGAGTTCAGGTTCTCTGGTCACTACTATGCACGCATTTATTCTCAATTTTAGTCAGCATATGAATGATACTGTACTATACCTGCTTCAGTTTTGTATTGTTTGCATCTACTAGTAGGCTACCTGTGAAAGTTTGTAAAATATGGAATGTGTTTTTCATTCAGTCATTTAATGAATG